TATAAAATATATATTTTAATATAAAGCTTATAAAACAATTAAATAAAGTTTAAATTCCTTTGAAAGTAAAAGCTAATAGTTAATAGTTGTAACCAATTCCTATGATGAATGTAAGACGGTAAATGAGAATCAAAGGAACTAATGAGGTGTGGCGCAGACATACGATCTGCTGGCGTACGAGACAGTCGATAGTCGATAGTCTACACACATGATTACTTCTAACAGGTTACATGCCAGATATCAAACATATACTAGCTTTTGCCCGCGACTTCGTCGGTAATTTCGGTATTATTAATATATGTATGTGACCGGGCGAACTTTATACTAGAGGCGGTAAATGACAAGATATTGGAGTTTATATATTATTTCTTTTTCAATTGAACATAATTAAATATCCTAATTCTTATGTTCGTCTCCTGGTTCTAAACTATCTCTCCACCAATTTTCATCCATATCCATACAGCCGTTCTTGAGTTATAAATAGTATAACTAACACAATTTTACTTTATACTAAATTGAGAACTAAAATTCTTGAGTCGATTAAAAAATCATTCATAAAAATATCGTTTCTTTCTATTAAAAATGTCTTTTAAATTAAAAGTATTTAATCTTAATTATCTCTTATATACATATTAACATAGGTATATTGATATGACTGTGATGAAAACATTTAAATAAGTGGTTAAATTTTTAACTGATTGTAATTTAATTGCACTTAGTTGTTAAAAGTTTGAACTAATCAAAAAATTATAAATATTTTCTTTATTATACGTAACTTATTCAAATATTTATATACGCTTTTTCTAACAAATTTAAAGAACTTAAAGGCGTATATGTATATATTTTATATTTTTCTTGAACTATAGATCAAAGTCCCATAATTTTTTCTATAATCTTGACTATTTATAATACGAACTTCAACAAAATAGTTTCAGCATTAGCCGACATATATATTTGAATATAAGTATTAAAACAATGTTATAAATGATACAAGAAAATAAATGTTAATATATTTAAATAGGATATTCATTTTATCAATATAAATAAAGTTTCTATTCCCTAGAATACAACAGTAATAATGGAAGTATTGAAATCTATAGATTTGAAAATATTTCTTTTATAAGAAATGTGTCTTGGAATATGTTTAATAATAATAAGTATAATAAAAAATTTAATATACCTAAGAGTTAATAGATTGTGTTATCTTCTTTAGTTGCCTAATAAAGTAAAATTTACAATTATAAAATACATATCCCTACTAATATTATAAATGCGAAAGTAACTCTGTCTGTCTGTCTGTTACTCTTTCACGCCTAAACCACTGAACTGATTTTAACGAAATTTGGTACAGAGATAGAATTGACCTTGAGAAAGAGCAAAGGATAGTTTTTATCCCAGACTTTTGGAAGGTTCCCTTTGAAACGCGATATAACCGAATTCCACGCGGGCGAAGCTGCGGGCGGAAAGCTAGTATAATATAATTGAGAACTAAAATTTTTGTGTCGATAAAAAAAATGATCAGATATAAAGGAATACGTAGAAAGTGAAAACATCAATACCGCACTCAAAAAATAAACTAAATTTCACCTCGACGTCATAATCAATCAAGTTTCGGATCTACATGGGAACAAAACAACGAACACACTTAAAAGTATCACCTCCGTACAACCGTCTGTCTGTCTGATAGAGATAAACTATAAAAACTATAATTAATTAATATTTAACATATAAATATTGTTAAAAATTATTATTATATCGAAATCTTATTATTATTTTCGGCAATTTCCCAGCTTTAGCCAGGGTCTGCCTTACATATTGTGAATAGTTTTGTCTAATTGTTTTTACGACCGGCCGCCTGCCTGACATCAACCCTCTTTGGGAATGCATTAATCAGTGACGTCTAAATACTCTTAGAAAGTACATATGACTCGAAAAAATTAGATTGGTACTTGCCAGGATCGAATCCGTCCTCATGCATGAGAGGCGGGCCTTTTAACCACTAGGCCACCACTGACTCTAGATACAGAAATAATGATTTACTTATAGTAAATATAATAATTAACGAGTATGTATATATAACATATCTGTTACACCTTTTTCTCAAAAACTTAATTTTTTTATAAGTCAAGCTTCTATGTTACTTACTTAAGCCAAACTTATTGTAAGCATCGCAACTTAATCAACGCTTAATGTTCTAAAACCTATCCATCATCAAGTTAGCAACTAATCCAATATAAAAAGAACCAAACCAACTTAAAAGTAAACATTGTCTTTGGAACTGAAAATTAAAATTTCCCAACTCGAGCTCTTTCCAAAACTTCGGCTTTGACGTACCACTTTACTGACTTATTATTTTTAAGCCACTTCAGCATTTAATGTACTAAAAATATGTATGGTATACATATAATAAAGTTTTTTTACTAAATATTACGTTTGTAACCAAAAATCTTGTTTCTGTAATATATAGAATATAAGTAAAGACTAAGTTAATGCAAGTAACATATTATTTTTATAATTTAACGTACATATAATAAACAAGATTATTTTATATGTCTACTTTTACTTAATATAAGATTCTCAGTAGTAATTCGGCTTTGCTATGAAAGAATATATAATATACATATTATATTAGGAATATATATTTTAACTTTATTCTTACGAGAGAAACTTATTACTCTACTATTAATAATTAATTAATTAAGTGTATATATTCAATAAGTATTAAATTTGAACTCCAAATATTCTATGTTTTGTCACTATTGGTATCTGAGTACTTATAAAATAAATCAAATTATCCTTATTCCTTAGAACGAGATTAAATCGTCACACTATACGACGCGTTAACAGTTTGTCGTTTATATCTTCACCTTATATTAATTTAGGTTATTGTATGAGAAACGGGAAAATATTCTTAAGTGACTATACACTTTTGGTAATAGTACTAAGATATGTTCATAATATATATAAATATATGTGTGTGTGTGTGTGTGTGTGTGTGTGTGTGTGTGTGTGTGTGTGTGTGTGTGTGTGTGTTTTAAGTATTTAATTTATGCGTAAAAGATAATTTTATTACACACATCAACGCCCTCACAGACTTCTTAATATGAATTATTATTTCATATTATTATTATAATTAAGTTATCAATAAAGAATCTATTACAAATAAAAAGTTTGTAAAACTATGTTTGTTACACAAAAAATATTCAAAAATAACGTCGTTTTTGGCAATTTATTCGACTAATATGTTGTATTTTTAACTATTTTTATAGTTGCAATACTAAAATTAATAATAAATAATATTTACGTAATTACAAAAACCAATAGTAAGTACTTATTAATAAAAAATAGTTAAAGTTCCAAATAGCCTAAAACTGTAAAACACAATTCAGACTTCAATCCTTCCGCACACTATCTATATCTACGTATCTACATATCTACATATCTATATATCTACATCTACGTACAGCTAATTATACTAATTAGAAACAAGTTTTTATGTTGTAACCAGATCTCTGATAAGTATTAAAGCGGCCGCGATCCTTCTATATCCGTCTTTCATGATGCATCGTATTTGTTTTCCATTCATGGACATATCATATCATTATCATTACTATCATGGATATCATGGATAGCATGTTAATGTTCATTAAATTTATGATTTATTTCGATTTTCAATATTAGTAATTCGTGTTAACATAAAAATTTATTTCATTTAATTTTCAATGCTATGTATATATAAATTAGGTTTATATTTAAATAATTAGTTATAATTATTTCCTTATCTATATACAGTTTTCCCGTTTCAAAGTTATCAATGCTCGCGTGACTCATAATTTCATAGCATCCCACAGAGCTTATATTATTATAATACAGAAAAATATCTAAAGATCTCAGAAGTTGATGATAAAAACTGTTATATTGAAATTAAAGAAAAATGAACTCTAATTTAGTAAATATAAATATCATTTTAGCTTAATATTGTTTTTATCAAAGAAGTTCTACTTAATTGATTAAAAATCTAAGTACGTATATTTATATATGTATTATATATAGTAAAAATACTTGAATTATTTCCGTCTGTGACTTCAAACTCGTCGTACAATGGTAGGGGAGGTTGGGGAGGAACGAAAGTGAACTTGAAAAGATCAAATAACTCCGAGTACCTGATGAAACGGCATTCAGGATCGATTTGTTGACGAATAAATTGATAAAGTTCAATGACCTCTTGTTATAAAAGTATAGATATAAAAGAAAATAATATTATAAATGCGAAAGTAACTCTGTCTGTTTGTTACGCTTTCACGCCTAAACCACTGAACTGATTTTAATGAAATTTGGTATAGAGATAGAGTTGACCTTGAGAAAGAACATAGGATAGTTTTTATTCTTGACTTTTGAAAGGTTCTTTTGGAAACGCGATATAACCGAACTCCACGCGGTCGAAGCCGCGGGCGGAAAGCTAGTATATATATAGTATATATATATATATATAATTCTCTCAGTACTAGGAACTAAACATAATCTGACGTACAATGAAGTAGATTCATTATTTTATTTTAACAAATCAATCAGTACTTACATCAAATGTTACAGTTCACATATCAAACATGGGCATAACAAAAAAAGCCCGGACTACCGTTCGGTTACACTATGGGTGGCACGTATCTACCATCTACCGTCATTACTACGATGGTTATCACCGCAACTATTTGTACAAACGAACAATGACAATTCAGCATCATCATCCACCAATTAGTGTCCAACCCTTTCACTCCAACAGCATAAACCTCATGATGGAAAGAGATAGAATAACATGATATCAAAGAAGAAGCGGCTCTTGATTGTAATTGATGACTTCGATCTCAATATATATGCTATATACCAACTTTGTTTGCAGGTTTCTCCCGTGAGGTGCGGTAGCTACAGTTCGCTTGAGGGCGAGTAGGGGTTGGAGCGGGGTTGGGGGTTAGGGGTTAGGGGTTCCGAGTGTTAGTGTGGCGCTGCACGGGGGTTGGGGGCGGGCGGCGCCTGCGCCCGCGCACGCTGCCACCACGCTGGTAGGAGGACTGGTCGCGCCGCCGCGGGAACCAACCACGGCGGCTGAAGCCTTCTGGAAGATGCCGCATAAAGGTAACACACACACACACACACACACACACACACACACACACGCACTTACATTACACAGTAGTCATAAGTTGCATCTCTATGTATGTATGTCTGTAACATCGTAGCTCTGAAACGGATAAATTTAGATAATATTTTTTTCATATAAAAGTTAGTGTCTAAACACACGCTATTTGGTTAATATCGATACAGTTGATAATTGTTTTGTAATAGCTCTTGTCCAAGATAATGTAAGGCGTTCCTGCTTTTGTACACATTCAATTAAATACCTCACGCTTTATAGTGTAATCGTGTAATCTTTGTTATTTATTCTTAAATATTAATCATATATTTTAGTTAATTATCTCAAAAAACACAAAAATAACAGCACAGTACAAGCCAAAAACATGAATTAATAAACATGTTTGAACAAAATAATATGTTTAGTATGAGTGTCTTCACACTTTATACTCATCGTTCATTCCATGAAGTTAGCTAATACTTTAATATACACTACGATTGAAAAACTGTTCACTATACAACTTAATACTGTATTCGAAAACTTCATGAGTATATTTAGTCCAAATTAAAAAAAAAAAAAACAGGTAATGTACCTATATAAAATTACTTAAAATAATTAATATATAAAATGACGTTCTTTTAAATTTACAACCGTTTTTAAATTACGAAATATCTTCTAAACAGTAAATACATATTAAAAGAGTTGAAACTAATGTCTGATTGTAACAAATATCTTCCCAGATTCAGTTATCTATTCATTTTTAACACTGAGCCTAGATTTTTATTAATTAAAAGTATTTAATTCTAGATATAATTCCTTATAAAGTTGAAAACATTCATTTGTTTACTTTCCTATGTATTGAAAGTTACAAGTTACAAGTATAAAAAATAAGGACGATTTCCTTGTTTATCTTTGACATTAATTATAATATTGATTGTATTGAAATAAAACGTCTCTTCGTCAAACTTGTGCGAAACTAATATGATGACTTTAATTAATAAAAAAACCTTCTGTATAAATATTATAAATATTTTCTAATTACAAATAATATATACAAATAATATGTATAATTCTTTAATATATCCATATAATAATTCACTCTCACTATAATGCAATTTGCCAGTTTTGGCAGACTTCAAACGACAATATTGTCACAATAAGCAATATATAGATATATAGACCGGATAATAATCGTTTAGTATTTGGAGGGTACAAAACATATTTTTATAATATACTTGAGTTAAATTTAATATATACATATGTATATATGTATAATTTTATATTAAAATGATGTTTCAATCATACGTAAGATTAGTTAATATACGTTTTCGGTTTAAAAATAAGTTAATTTAACTATACGCTTTTCAGTCTTTTGTTTTTAAATTTAAATTTAAGTTTATATACATACATATACAATATTAGTGTTATATTGAATTTAAAATGTCGAAATCATAATGAGATCGAATATTTTCGCGAGTACTCATTTAAATGAAACTAATATTTTCGGTATTACTACGCGTTTTTTATTTTTGCTTATAAACTACATACTCCCGACGTTTCGGCTACTTTACAGCAACCGTGATCACGGGCAGAGATGTCTAAATCATGTTTTTTAGAGTTACGAAACAAATAAGCGGATTACCTTAAGTTAAAAACCATGTTTATTATATACGAATTGATTTTGTAAAGAACAATACGTAACTGTAAATAGATTATACTTTAAAAACGGATTTTACATAAAAACAATAAAAATATATACAAAAAAAAAATTTTAAGGTAAAACTGTTATTTTGTTGAACAATGCGAAAAATATATGATGTAAGATTTCTATCGTTATCGGTCCAGTCACCCAGGGTTTGTGAGATGGATGTCACGAACAAACATACAGTTTAATATAACAAGGATCGAGGGGCGTGGTACTATAAATTATGTCATTTTGTATGGGACAATGATGTCATGAAAAAAATTGGTGACGTCAATATATTTTTATTATTATTTTTATTACCAAAGGTTTACTATATATAAAGATAAGTATATAATATTCAAAATACTTTAAATCCTATTTACATACAATGCAACATCAACAAAGGGCGGTAAATTGTTTAATTTGGGATTCAAAAACTGGATTTCGTTCATCCAAAATGGCGTCCGAACAATTAAACTCCCCCCGAACAGAAACAGATACAAAATAATAATAAGAAGGGCTTCGAGTGGGGGCTGGCTGTCTGTCTCATGCACCAGGTGTTGCTACCCTTATATATTCACGTTTGATTAATGTTAATACTTCTTTTATTTAAACTTCTCCCGATAATGACGAAGCGTGTTTACAGCTCACGACCACGACACGACGTAATGTCGTATGCAGTAAATGTAATCAGAATATTTTTTTAATATATTTTTTTGTTAGTGTTCATGTCAATTATGAATTACAATTCGAGCGCCGTGACTCGCTTTTCCGATATATGTACCTACCTATGGCGTACAACATGAGCATTGTGGGCTTAATTTATAAAAATAACTACAACTACACATAAATTTATAGAGTCGCGGCCATAAAAACGGGGATTAAAAATAAATCGCTCGAATAAATTGCACCTCTGAAATTAAAACTCCCTCGCGACACGCGCACTTGCGCCCGCCTGCGGTCTCACCCACGAGCGGCAGCGATTTAATGCACATATCTGTCATAGAACAAAATAAAGCGAATTTACATTTACACTAATCCATCACATAAATTATATTACAAACAAAACTAAAATCATGAATTTGAATTAAATTACGTTTTTTTACGATTTTAATATAAATAAGATTTATGTAAGTTAAAAAAAAATTGTGTCATATATCAAGAACACATAAATCGCTACCTCCTATGATTAATACTCAACATATAGGAGGGTTGTACATTGTCCATTGTTCTTTTAACAGCTCCGCTTGTTACGGCCAGCCTGAGCTAAGAGGTATTAATAACGTTTTGGCGCGAAAATACGTCATTTAATTGGTACGCGATAATTAATATGGCGGGTTCATTTTTTACACCCAAGTAATAGGATATCCAGCCCTAGTTCTTATGTCATAAATTCAAATATTTTTACGTCTATGTAATAAAAAAATCATATTAATTAAAACTTGCGTGCTTTATTCAGTCAGAATATTTATATATAGATGACATTGTTATGTATTTTTTTTTAATGACACACGTTATATAGCCGTGTATCCAAAGCTATGCAGCCACAAACAATTCACCCTACTGATGACTGCCCTCTATCCACAAATTGCATCCAATTGTTCACTTTTTACCACAGGGGACGCCAGTTTAGCATCTGATAGAGCCATTCAAGTCTATTGGTGCGAGACTAGAAAGAATTGTGTTAAACGGAATGCCGGGAAGGTTTCACAATTATTTTACCGCCATTCCTCTAGCTGGCGTCTGTTTTTGAAAATCGAACACGTCAAATATAAAACTAAATTTTATAAATCAAAATTACAATTAAGTTTCGAATGTACTTACACCGTTTTTAAGATTATATATATTTTTTTGCAAATTATTATTAATCTGTAATGCTGTTTGTTAAAAAAAAGCATAGCGTCTTAAAATTTCGCTCATTACAATGGAGTGAAAACCATTTTTTTTATAAAAAAATGTTAATAAAGAAAAAGGCTTCAACGGTTTTTTGTATCACAAAAGATGTTCAAGTATCGCAGATTTGTTAATAATTTGTGGTTGTCTATCGCACCGCAGGACCCTTTTTTATCTCTTTTTGCTAAGCTGATTATTTCTTTAAACGGGTTAGTTTTTAATAATTTTTTTTTGGCAACGCGTCTTCCATTGGCAGGTATATTATCCTTTGAGATTAAACGTCCACTTGAGTGCGAATACTTTATGCTCGTGGTTTTTTAATTCCTTGTACATAATACAAAAAAAACTGTTATATTATGTTTTATAACATGAATTTTGTGAGATAATCTATATACAACTGTCATTACAATACTATAAAAATTACAATTAAACATAAACGTATATAGTATCTTCTATATATGTATATATTCTGATAACCTAAGTCTCGTTAACATGCTTTTCATTATTTGGTACAAAAAAAAATACTCTTAATAGAAATAAAATGTATAACTAATGAGATCTAAGATTTTCGCGAGTACTCATTTAAATGAAACTAATATTTTCGGATTTATTACGCCATTTTTTATTTCGATTTTTTAGTTTCGGTTACTTTACAGCAACCGTGATCACGGGCAGACAAAATGTGAATGTCTGTCGGTCTTGTTATTTTTAAAATACCGAAACCGAAACTTCGGGAATATATAGTTTATAATCGAAAACAAAAAATGCGTAATCAATCCGAAAATAGTTTCATCAAAACATATATTTATTCAATATTTTCTGTTCACTGTGCTTAATTAAGATGTTCTTCATAATTGGAACAAAGAAAATGCTTTTAAAATAACTTTCAATTGTAAGTATAAGCAAAACATTAATAATAATAGGTGTTTATGCTCTAGATGAGTTGATGCATAGCGCGGCTATGGGTGGCGGGGCGCTGTTCGGGTGCTCGTCAGCTGGACATAGCGGGATAAACCAACTAGGAGGAGTTTACGTGAATGGAAGACCTCTCCCGGACTCGACGAGACAGAAGATAGTGGAACTGGCGCACTCTGGAGCCCGGCCCTGCGACATCAGTAGGATACTGCAAGTGAGCAACGGATGTGTGTCCAAGATACTGGGGAGGTGAGACAACACAATATACGATATGACTAAATATGTAACCAATATAATGACTATTGGTACAAAAAAATCACAGAAATTATCACATAGATAGGCTTGTTGACAATTTTTGCTTTATAGGCCACAATAAAAATTTTAAGTTAATCTATCCTATAATTTGGAATAATCTATGCCTTGCCAAAATATATAACTATAATTGCTATTAAACCGAAAAAAAACAAAAAAAATATCATATATATATAGGCTATTTATATAAGATTTTGCAGGACATAGGCCACAAGTAAAATTTAAACTGTGAGTTTGAAATAATCTTCATAAAATTACCATCATTCTTCAACAGATCACCAAAATAATCCCATTAAATCCACCTCAAATCTAAGAATCTCGTATTACTTATCCGATTACTTTAATAATGAATAATGAATAGCGGTAACGCAAAATCTATATACACAGGAGCAAAGGGCGCGACAACAATTAAAATGACTACTATAACACACAAACGAATTATTTAACACAAAAACCATTGTTGTACAAGAATTGTAAGTTCCTAAATGAGATCGAATTCATAGAATAGCCACGCGAACAAATTGTCGAAATTCCCATAGCTCCTCCTGAGAAGGTCACAATGGTTGTGAATAATTTCAATAACTTAATCAATACAACGTTTAAATTCCCATACATTCGGATTGTTTTTGTGTGAATGGAGCACTCCGCGGGGCTTCAGTCCGGATCAAGCTTGGGGTGCACTAATTTCGTCTGATTGCGATTTTATCGGTTATCACAAACCCGGGACCCTTCGCTCAAGTGCTTACGAACGCCCAATCCTATTGGCATTTAATCTAAATTCGTTTTACGTAAAATACTTTCTAATACTCAATGGATTATTTGTATATAGTTTTTGTTTGAGTGTTCTTACTTTACTTTACTTTATATATTTCGAGGATTAAAAATAACTTTTAGTTTCATTACATTGTAAATATGATATCAAACTATGAATATAACAAACATTAAATCGTTTTATATTTGATTGCAGTCAACATTTAACAGTGACTCATTATAACCATACGTTTAACAAAAGTCCAAAAGTCGATTGACGACAATAAAGAAATCTGAAAGACGTCAATCAAGAGAGCTAGACATAATTCATAGTGTGCGTAACAGGGCTGTCCCACGACCGCCCCTAAATAAACGATATGAAAGGAAATATAATAATATTTGCCAGTAATTGGCACCCCTGGCGTCCACTTCACCAGATCTTGTAGGAACGTCGTTTTTGTTTGGGGAGCGGCATGTTATTATTTTGTAATGTTGGCTCCTTCAAATCTCGATTGGTATAACATGGTTAGAGTGCTTCTGAACAGCTTATACTTGAACATTAATTGTTTTATACAACTACATATAGCTACATCTATAATCTAGATTATTCTATAGTATTCTAAGCTAGATCTTAACATAATATTTCTATTGAACAAGTGCAAGTGCCACACATTCCTATATTCCCACACGGCCCTAACTTATAGCGGCAATTAACTAAAGGGTTCTGTACATTCGTCGTAACCGCGGGACTCCTAATTAGACGCCCTCCCGCTAAGTATATACTATTATTTCTTTTCTGAGGAATGTTTTCATATTGTGACGTCATAATGTAACTTGCTATGACGTCACTGTTGTCATACATACGTCACGGTAGCGATTTTTCGATAGTAACGTGGGTTTACTGATGCATCCTCTCTTTTGTCTCAGATTATCATGGAATACGCAGTAAGTTGAATTTATTATTAAAATAGTAATAATATATGTATTAGTGGAACTAACTACGGAATATATATAAATAACAGCTTCATATATTAATTAATTTTCAACACGAGACTTACTGGCATCTATACTTGACATCAAATACAAAATGTATTCATCTCTAGTTATAGTATTTGTATTACATATGAAAATATTTGGAGGTCATATGATAAATCATTATTAGTTAAAAACTTTATAATTATCAAAAACACAAAAAAAATATAAATAGAATTCTCATTGTTTTCTAGGTTTATTTGCCAAAATTGTAACGTTAAGGAGATATACAATTTTGAACAATCAATACCAATGTTATTATTATATGATACTTAAAATCTTGCTATTTAAGTTTCTAACAATATAATCTACATATTTTTTTAATTTTGCATCCGTATTAAACATTCGCATAAAACCTCCGCGGCTGTATATTTTCAATATAAACTTTTTTTTTCATCATGACATAACTGACTTTGACATAAATTCCAACTTGTATTTAGTGATATACAAATATTATTTCAGTTGTCGTACGCGTGTCATTCGTGTATTTTATTCTCAGTTTGATTGTAATTTAAGTGTTTCTCCGCAGGCTAAAACGTTTAACCGCCTTTAGCGTAATAGCGCTCCACAGACAAACAAGTATTGACAGATGACATTTAGTCTTTAGATGATAGTTTTTTTTTTAAATCACAGTAACGGCTTTTGGCATAGAAATGAGGTTTAATAATTATATTAGATTTATATTAAATTTAATTCGTAAAAAATATATGCAATTGATTATTAGTTTTTTGAAATAGGGGAGCGGGGGGCACGTTGTTACAATTTTTAGATAATTATTAATATCACAAAAACTATCAAATAATGTATACATTTGATTGCTTTTACCATTAGTGTGTCTATTCAGCTAGTGGAATAGAATTGGAAAAATATTAAAATTTACGTAATTTTTCCCAAAATAGAGAATTAATGAAATAAGTCGATTGCAACAACTTACCCCTGACTTGGGGCTAGTTGTTACAGCTTCGGGGCACGATATTACAGTAGGTAAATAAATAAAATGAACAATAATAAATCATTTATTTTTTATTATTTCAAAAGGTTATGAATAAAAAAAACTATTTTGATCAGTCTTATAACATTTATGAGCAATTATAATATCTATATCGTAATTTTCCAACTTTTTAACAGTAATAATCACATAACTTTGGCAGGAACTTCCTTAAATCTTATATATCGTTTATTTTAGTTATTTTAGTTTATCGGTTAATACAGCGGACTTACGTTTACGACGGTTATGGATGGATGGTTTTCGAGCCTCTGCCTTGGGAAAGGACCTTATCTTTGAAGGCGAAAAATTTTCAAATGTACTTTGTATACCAGATGGACCTGGTATCGCTAATTCAATTTTATTTTTAAAACTTGACGAATCTGCACTCGGTAATGTTGTTAAACATTCTATATCTTGCGTACAAGCTGGATTTGGAGAAGGTGAAACAGTAATATTGTTAATAGTGTCAGGTAATAGATTGGTTGCTGTTTCGATTGCCTGTATGATTTCATTTATTCACTTTCCATTTATTCTAATTTTTAAGTACAGCGTAGTAATTTCTAAATGATAGTCAATGAGATGAACGGTAATACAGGATCTGAGGCAAGTTGTTACATGTAACAACCTACCCCGAAAAACTGTAACAACCTGCCCCATGGTGTGTTTTTTAATTAAAATTAAAGCCCCCATTAATGGATATCAATAGCAGAATAAAACGCTATTACAAATTAAAACTCGATACATTATGAACGTTCGAGGCGAAAAGAATTTAGAGAATTACAAATATAGACAGCAGAAATCAAAAATTTCGTAAAAGATTTTGTTACGAACTTGATAGAAATCGAGACACGTGCACACAACCTAACAGTTAGCCGCTTGGCGGGTCACCGATTGTTTTTTTGCAACGCACGATGTTATAAGAAAACAAATGAGTCCACTTACGTCTACCAAAGAGTTAAAAATCCCGGTAAAAAATGCGTGTAACTTCTTACCCCTGCAACAACGTGCCCCCCGCTCCCCTAAGTTATGTTTATAAAGTACATATATAGGAATCTTATAATAGAGTACAAAATTAATAAAAATGTTACAATATTGAATCTGGCAATGAAAGTATTTAGGGCAGTACTAAAATTTAACTTATCCGTAAATAGTTAACTTATGACGGGAAAGCTTATAGTTTGATAGTTAAATTTGGATCTGATAGTTTAGATAGAAGCTTAAAATAATTATATCCTTATCATAAATTAAATACAAACGAAATAATTTTCTCTCTGTAGCAGCGAGAATTCCGCATTTTTTTTTTCTAATAAACTACGTCGTCCGAATATTTCAAACAGTCGCGTCGGCTTGAGGTAAAAAAAGGCGACATTATGTAACATAAAAAAATAATCTCAAAGCAAAACACTTAAAACACAATAAAACTTCCGAACTAAACGTTTATAAATCCTCAATGAGGCTAACATTTCTTAAATACACCAACAATCCTATCTGCCCCATCGATATGCAGCGAATATCGACACATGTCGAACGGCACAACAATACAGGACACACTGTAACAAGCTTTACACCTTATCACATTAAATATAAAGTCTATTTCAGTATAAACTATATAATATATTTGTATAGGTACTCAAAATAAGGGGATGGTAACAGATTATATTAGTAATTGTGAGCTAATGCGGTCTGAGTGGGTCGGAAGCTTAATAATTTCAATGGTAAATGTAACATACGTGCCTATTTATATTTTAGAATCTTAAGTACTTGGGGTACGATATTAATATGTGTAAATATTATTACTTTAAAATGGGGGTACCGTAAATGGATTATTTTATTATGGATTCCGTACAAATGAAATCAATAATGTCCAATATAATTTGAGCTGTAAGATATAGAATATTTCGTCAAAATATACATTTATTCACAGGTACTACGAAACTGGTTCTATCAAACCAAGAGCGATTGGTGGTTCGAAGCCAAGAGTAGCGACTACTCCTGTTGTACAGAAAATAGCTGATTACAAGAGGGAATGTCCATCCATCTTCGCCTGGGAGATACGAGACCGTCTACTCAGCGAGAACGTGTGCAACAATGATAATATACCAAGCGTGAGTAGACCTCATAATAATAACACTATAATATATGAAAATAACTTAGATTAAATCTTTATTAAGATTCATAAGAAAACATACATCAATAATTTTAATTAAATAAGTATAATGTGATATTTTCTTCTTCGTCTTTTAAAATTAAGTAACGTCAATTTACGTTCAAGTAATTCGCAGGCTTAACTACATATTTTAAAACAATAAACTAAATAATATTTTTTTCAATTCAAATCACAGATCATACTTATTTTTCTTTATTTGCTATATCAATAGACAATATTATCTGTCAATCACTGTCAAGAGAGGTACCAATTGCAACTATCTGTCAAAACATCAAAAACAAGTCGAGATTTCATTAAAATGTGACGCGACAGTTGCGAAGTAAGCTTGAATTTGTAATCCAATTTCTGGATTTAGAAGGAGCATATGCTCAGACCCTTGGCTTTGTCCGTCCTACCATTCATTGACCGTTCTATTGATGACAGTTAATAAAATGTTACGTTAAAATGTTTTGTGCTGATACTGTCAATACAAATCTATTATTGACTCGATCCCATGGCCATTGTGATAACTATTAGCAATACAAATACAGGATTCGATATGACCGTGCTATGAAATTAAATTTATGGTTCTGTTTTTTTGTGTATCAAACGTTTTTGAGAGGAATCTCTGTTAAATTTTAAGCAAACATATGAAAAAATATTACGATATGTTTCTTTAATATAAACTTGTTGGTTTTTAAGATATAATGATTCGTAAGTACGTGTGTAGGTATATGTTTTCTTTCCTTGTATACGAAAACTGTTCAAGCAAGATATGCAGACAAAGTCGGGATAATCAACTAATAAAATAATGTTCTAACATTAACTACAGTTCAGTTTTCATAATGATGTTAGTTACTATATAAAGTCCCAATTTCAAATACGAATTGCCGCTACTTATATTTTTTAATTGTTATTCTGTAAATCAAAACGGTGATGATTATTTGTCTGCCATTTAAACATATAAATACACTACTTCCTTGCTATCAAAACAGTAATTTACCTATATGTGAACAGAACTTAAATTGTTAACCTCAACACTATTGAAATTAGATAAATATTACCAATATACAATATAAAGTTCAGTACATAGGTATAGCTATATCTAATAAGTCTAATTCGTGGAATATAAAATGCCAAGAGAGCACAGATAAAATATATAAACGCTGAAATAACATGTAAGTGACACCGTTTGTAATCGAGCTTGGCGTTTGCTAGTGACATCTGCCGCCAAAAAAAAAAACATAAGGAATCTTTTTCCACCATTTTTTCTGTCACTGTCAAAATTGTATAGACTATGTCAATATTTTGTCTTGTGGTTTATTGTAGTCGAATGTTCATAAAAAATATATATCATAAATTTTAGTACATATAAAAATATCCGTAAAATTAATTCAACTATTACATAAGTTATTATAAAACATATTTCTATGTACTCTGTTAGTAATAAGAACATAAATCAGCCGTATATACCCCGCTATAACGAGAGGGAAAATTGGAATGCCTTCATCCCTTAGCTTGTACTTGTGAAGGGGCTATTTTTATGACTGTCACCGGCCAGATAAATAGGTAGGTGGCACCACCTCACCACTGAACGTGTGTTAGAGAGGGATAGGTATTTATTGTGGGTTCCGTGCTCAGATCATAACGGTCGAATGGGCGTTATACTTCTTACCGCCGGCGAACAGACAAAAATACGTGGAACAATCGATTATTGCTCCACTTTAGAATGTCGTAAGTACAGAGAGGTTATTTTATACTTATACTAGTTTATACGATCTCATTACTACTATAAAATGTAGAATAAAATAAATGAATTTATTTTCATTAGCGTTCTTATATTAATTCATCTGTTTTTAGGATTTTTGATATATTATCGTTATAATCATTGTTTAATTCTAAGATTCCATCTATCATAAATCAGAATATATTTTACTTCGAATTTTATATATATGAAAATAATATCAAGTTTCAATATAAAAAAAAAAACATTCTTATTTAATCTGTGACTTACGTCACTTATCTTTCGCGCAACTATAATGCCGCGTTTCACGCGTCGGTGCACAAACATTCGCTGTCTCTTTCTCACATATTATAACAATCATCTTCCGTCCCTCTCAGCGACTGCTTATGATGGCATAGGAATTGACGGTTAAATCAAGATATGTATGGAAATGAATTAATGGATTTTTCAGTTATGTTAAATTATTTAGTGAAACGAACTGAGTAACATTTTGTACATTTGTTAACTTGTCCGTGATCATCTTGTGTTAAAATGCAGTGATTGTTTGATGCAAGCTTACGAATACTAAAGTTACTTTTAAATTCCAAAAAACTTGATGTGTCCACTTAATACTTATACGGACAATACTTTAGAAGATACTATTAGGTAAGTTGTCAACAAATCAGTTATTACGATTTAAAACACATTTCAATTTAAAGCAACATGGAATTGTTACAAAAAAGTAGGTTATTTCACTTATAATCTTTATGAAAACAAGAATATTCGTAAATGTCAGTCAAAAAATATTTATAATATGGCGCACGTAATTCAACACCACCAAAACGCTACCGAGGAGCATTTTGGAGGCTTCGTGCCACGTATTATGTAGCCTTATGGAGTTTCGATTTCGTTTACACGCACCATTGTAACATGATCTCTCAAATTACATCGCAATTAAGATATCTGGAGATCTTTTAAAAGTTGTTTTTGTGTATTTTTAATACTGGTTTACTAGTGAATGTATTTATTCTTCGAAAAATATCAGTAAAAATGATATTCCTATCATACAAAACAAACAAATATTGATCAATTATTCTGATAATGATTTTATTGTCTCAAATCACAGTTAATTGTCTAAATATAATAAAACACATTTGTAATGCAAATTTTTTAAACCACATAACACTAGTTCTATAACACTAATTACCACAACCGCAGAACAATAGTCAATTTGTGGATTCGTACATTTGTTTATACGTTAATATTAACCGGTGTATTATTCATATAAAAAATCATTTTAAACTGCAACCAGAAACTAAAAGGTTAGACGATTAACGCAACCGTGAACCAATCCTAGGAGAATTGTGAAAAGACCGCACCCCACACACAAAAAAATAAAAAATCTTTTCACCGGGGAATCGAATCCGGGGTTAAGCGTGTACGTTAAAATGTTTATAGATAATGCCAATGTAGGTAATAGTAATTCTAATTCCCTGGGGTTGTGACCCCAACGGAATGCCCTTTGTCCGGATGTCTTGTGCAAGGAGTTTCGCTCGCTTTTTTTTGTCAAAGAATCCGCATCAACCGCACCTATATACAGGCTGTATAATTCATGCCTAAACACTTTTATATTAAAAAAAATAATAATACAAGCGATAGATTCATTATTAGATTGTGTTAATTTCACATTCAATTAAATTAACAAAGCCATCGATAATAAACCTGATCGGGCTGAGCGGGCTTTTGTTCTAACGCGCGCCGGACCACCTACCGGCCGGATCGCTCGCATGATCTATCACCGCTGTCAAGTGACACCTGTCAATGTCACCGTGACACAAGAACGCCCGCGCGCCATCTTGAAAGGGTCTATGATTTTCGCCGATTAAACTTTAATATTAATATCGTCTTCATCTATTTAATAGAGCGATGCTTTGATTTATATGGGGACGCGCGTGCGCATGGTTACGAGGTAATAAAATACTTTTACAACGCTCTTACTTTTAATATCAAGTTTAGGTGTAAAATTTTGCTCTTTAGTAATTAAAAATTACTTACAATTCTAATAGTATAATTATATATTAAATTTATTATAGTCCTACTAATATTATAATTGCGAAAGTTTGTGAGTGTGTGTGTATGTTTGTCACTTCTTCACACTCAAACGGTTGAACCGATTTTGATAAAATTTTGTATACAGGAAGCTGACGTCCAGGAATAACACATAGGCTACTTTACATCCCGGAAATCCGCGTGTAACACCGCGGGGCGCAGCTAGTTTATAATATAAGTGTATATAAAGCGTATTAACAATGAGTAACAAGCATAAGTTTCAGGTGATACATTCTAGTAACAATTAGATTCAAGGAACATAGCGCCGAGTCTCAGTCTGAGACTCAGACTCAGTCTCAGTCTAAGTCTGAGACTAGTCTCGCAGCTTCTTTAATTACCCAACTTGCACGTAACTCTCGACTTGTGTAACAGTTATCCTACCAAGTTTCAGAACGGTCTTCACTTAATTGGAGTTTAATTTGTAACTTATTAACAAGACGTGTTGTATGAAGTGATCTTTGTTTTATGAAAATTAAAAAAAAAATACTAGATAACTATTATTATTGTAGTATTTTAAGCTTTATATTCAATTCAAGTGAATTCAAGAACAATATCTCGACTTGTCAAAGGTTTGAAATAAATGACTTTAAAACACGAACCAAAAGCCAAAAGGTTTATCCACACTTCAAGCTGATCGGCATTGTTTAAAATCTTCGTTTAATATTTAAAAATTACAATTATTTTTCAAAAATTATCTATATTAATAATGAACATAAATTTTATTTTGTAATATCAGTAGCAGTTTAAATTTATATAATTGAATGAAAACATAAAAACTGTTTTGAAACATAAATATAAAATTTCCGAACGCATCACATGATAAATGTACCGTTATAATAATAACCTATTTATTTTAAAACGTATTCTGGGGGACCCTTTTAAAAAAATCTCGCCCAGCCCCCGATCATACCCTTTACACACATCAACGGTCACTAATGCGTGGACCGTACAACTAAAAGGTTGTATGTACAATAATAATAATTATTATACACTTATTTGAGGACTTCTCTTGTGTATTGACCAATAATTATATTGGCTGTATGACTTTGGCTGAACTCTATACACCTTTGCCTTTTTAGAAGAAGAAAAAAAAAAAAGTTGACATTTGACAGTTCTAATAATCTATTCTTAATAATCTCGTAAAATCAAGACGTATTATAATTAATAATATATAATTATTTTTTATAAACTTATCAATTAATTGTTATCTGTATACGTTCAGAAATTAAATCATAAAAATGAAGTTTAAAATTCTGATAGCAGCGCGCCAACTGCTAATCTGTTTCCTATCTGATTGGTTGTTGAGCTGTCACTTACAGAATGTGTTTTGAATGCAATTCTCTTATTGGTTATTATATTATTTTAAAATTGGAATTCAAATAGATTTTATATAGGTACGTAAAATTCTTATTTGAATATAATTTAAAGATTTTTGTTTTCTTATTAGTATAAATTCATTTATATATTTCAAAAAACCAATAATATTGTAGGTAGAGAATCTTTTTGTTATATTTTCATTGATTTATGATACATTTAAAGTTTAAACTATACACAACAGTCTGGTTTTAGTGAAGTTTTAAATCTGTAATAGTGATTTAAGCCTCACCTGCAGTACATTACCTTCCATTAGCAGCACAGAGGATTAAACAACCAGTTACGTGGCATCCATTTTGTTGAAATACCGACGCCATTTTAAATACACGAACATTTCTTATTGAAATATAGTGAAATGTAAACATTGGATACATTAATTTATATTATTACAGTTCCATAAATATTATTTATTATCTGTATTTCATATATATAAACTTTTTGCTTAATATTTTTTTTATCTATCTGTGAGTGACTATATTCAATATGGATATTTTCCTATGAAAGTGACGCGTTGTATCTGAAAATCCATAGTATAGCAGCCCCACGGGTTGTAACAGGGAAAAATATATTTCCCCGTTGCCAATAGCAATGAGAAAACAGATAGATATTATCTAGGGACGCCCCGCGGCTCTGCCTACATACATATAACAAAGATGTGTTCAAATGGCCATACATAGAACACATTTGTGTGAGTTAGGTTTTTACGCATGCGTGCTTTTTCACCGAAAGTAGATAGATATTGGGGTTTTTAGGCCCTGAAGGGGTGAGGGATGGGGCCGCCCTAATCTCTGGCCCTTTGAGGATCCCGATTGGAATTTAGTAATCATATTAAATTTTAAATTACACGTGCTTGGAAGTTAAAAGGGCGGGGGGCGCTCTTCAATTTGTTTCCCATTAGATAGTTATTTAGTTGGACTGAGATTGGGACTCATTACTTGGAGGAAACCCTTCTTATGTACATTACATTGTAATAAAACTTCATACATATATAGAAAATATACCTAATTATTATATATAAATAGTTTAATTGTAAAAAACGTAATTAATATTCATATTGTTTAGGTGTCATCAATAAACCGCGTGCTGCGTAACCTCGCGTCTCAAAAGGAGCAGGCGGCCTCAGCACAAAATGATAGTGTTTATGAGAAGCTGAGGATGTTCAACGGACAAGCAGCCACTGGCTGGTGGTATCCTGGCCTACCGACTGCCCCAGCACCTTCCATACCAGCGCCAATACCACAACAGTTGAACAGACCCGAGGAACATAAACGAGGTAAGAAAAACATATATGTATGTGAAGTAGCCTTTAGTGTTCGTACGATGAGTGAAAGAGACGGTTGCATTTTTTCATATTCCCACCCTTTTCCTCAATAATCAAGGTTGGTATTATCAATATCTATGTAACGGATTTTAATGGGCGATGGTAACTACTGCCCATTAAGTAGGCCGTTTGCCCATTTGCTACTTTTGACATAAAAAATTAACGTTAGGGTAATCAGCCTATCAGAGCCCACTGCTGAGCAAGTCCTCTTTCTCACATGGAGAAGGTTTGAGCATTAATCACTACGCTTGCTCAAGACGTGTTGGTGATTTCAAACTTATACTTATACTTCTCGCGATGTTTTCCTTCATCGGTCAGTGATATCTTAATACTATCAGAAAGTACATATAACTTGAAAAAATCACATTGGTATTACCAAGGTTTTAAACTCGCGTCCTCATGCATGAGAGGCGGGCCTTTAACCACTAGGCCAAAAATATAATAGAGCTTTATTAATATATTTTAATTAAATAAAGGTGAATTTTTCGAATTATTTAACTAGTATTACTTCTTAAGTATATAATTATTTTTAATACAATTATTATTTAAACACATATATATTGTAGAACATGTGTTAAAGTAAGTCTAATAGTCTCTCACAAAGTCAGAGATGTCCTTTTTCTCATTTGCTTTGAGCTACGTTTGATCTGAAAGCCTTTAGTCCCACTCTAGGGTCGTCACCGAGCGGATAATATTTATTTTTACATACTAAATATAAAAGAATTTTATTTGGGTGTATTATAAATGTTTTTTTTTGCACCAACCCTGTGTAATCTTGAGGCTGTCTCAATTGTTTCTTAGTCTTTGTCTTTTCTAAATAGCCTTCTTTGTTTCTGTGATGTTCTGCGTTGGAGATTAAATCTGAAGATATTTAAGATAATATATAGTACAAAAAAATCTATACACGTTAATTATAACTAACATAATACTTAAAATAATATTCATATATATATATGTATATTTATAATATACATCTAGTATATATTTTTCCGTGTTCATAAAGTATACGTTAAGTGTCTGTTTTACAAATTGAGACACGTAACGCTCTATGCACTCTGACGCGCACGTGATCTGGAAATTACGAGGAATACATTTAAGATGGCCGTTCTTTATTTTTTTATATTATTTTGAGTTTTTGCTATAATATTATATAAATATATATGAGATTCAAGATTTTCGTGAGTCTTTTTCATTTAAATGAAACTAATATTTTTCGGATGTACTACGCGATTTTATTTTTGATAACAAACTAGGTACATACTTTTCCTTTTTTTTTTCATTGTACCTATACCACATTTCTTTCTAGTTTCCTATATCAAAGGATTTCTGGTGATATCTTTTAAGAGATAACTTATCCTTTGTGCATTTCATTTCTTTTATAATAACGTATTACGTAACTATTTGTACTTTTGATACATAAATAGCTTATTTTTTATGCCTAAGTTATTCCGTATTTATATTTAAATGTATATATTTTGTATAATAGATTATTTTATTTAAGTTTATTTTAGTAATAGACCCCGTCGGTCGCTAACTTTGTTTCGTCTACTTTACGTGACCGCCAGTCATCTGGTCAAGTTTGGTCAAACTTGACTGACTTGTCTTCTTTATCTTTGTATAACTTAGATTTTATATCTATCTTAATTTCCATTTATTTACATATATTAATAAAAAAAACAATTAATAGAAAACATCGTAATACTTTTATATAAAACTTCTAGTAAATTTTTCTCATAATTTATTGTATAAATATAAAAAATTCTGTAGATAAATTTACGAATAGTAAGAGTAGATAATATTTTATATGTATAAAGAAAATTCAAACTACCCCTAAGAAAAAAAAACATATATTATTTTTACCCTTAAAAGCACGATGAAAATGTTTCCATGTTAATCATACGAAAAAACATAGGCACTTTAAAATGAATGAATGTATGACAGAGATTTATAAAATTTTTACTCGTTTTTCACAATTAGACATGACATAATAAAACAGGCAATTGATTCATATTGAGATTCAAATAATACAACTTCTACCAAATTCATTATCAATACCTAATTATGTTTCCACAATTTGTCGTATTTTTGAAATACTTATAGCTTTTGAAATTGCACTTGTATTCGGAAATTTCATATACAATGAATGAATCCTTAATCCCTACTAATATTATAAATGCGAAAGGAACTCTGTCTGTCTGTCTGTTACGCTTTCACGCCTAAACCACTGAACTGATTTTAATGAAATTTGGTACAGAGATAGAGTTGACCTTGAGAAAGAACATAGGATAGTTTTTTATCCCAGACTTGTAAAAGGTTCTCTTGGAATCGCGATATAACCGAACTCCACGGAATAATAGTTTAACAATATTTTATACAAGTCTTCCTATTTATATAATTACAAATTAATTATAATATTTTAGTATAAGTTTTCGTAATTTTTTCATTACCGCGTTATCATTATAAACTGTAAGATAAAAATAAAATGGTTTTATTTAAATTTAACTTGTAAGAAACATAATATATATTATATAATACTTATAAAAGGCGAATAAATAGAAAAGTAGAATCCTTTTTATATTTTCAATTCATTAAACTACATAATTAGGACATTTTCTTAATAAATCTTCCATAAGTGTTCATAAACCTAAAGAAATATATACAAATATTTGTTTTCTATTATCCCTATGGATGTGTCACGTACTAATAATATCACCCGGCGTCGGCCGTGGCCGCGGTCAGTGGCGGGTCGCTCGTTAAATTAACTGTATTGACAAACAGATCTACTGATTTAGTTTAATTCACTGTTATATTTGTTCATTGAATACATAAATAGTATTGGTTTGATATAAAGCTTTTTTGTTATAGAAAATCTTTCTGGAATATTTTATAACTTAAAAAGATTTTGCGTAAATGTATAGGTACAGTCGTTGTATCAGTGGAACTAAAATAATTATACAAGTTAAATTTACAGTTACTTTTTATATGTTTTTTTGTTATTATCCTATGATTCCATATGAAAATTTTGTCGTTCATAATACTGTTAATATATCCCGTTGTCCTATACAAATACAATTAAAATTTAATTAAGAACATATATACAAACTTAATGACTTTCGCTAGTTTGAAACGTCGTATTTTTTTTACAAAAATAAACCGCGTAGATATCCGAAAAATATTAATTTCATTTAAATGAATATACAAACTTAAGAACACAAACCTTTTTACACATTAAAGATTATTTAATCCGTATCTATCATATTTTTTTAACTATTAAGTATTTAACTGTCACAGTTAACCTTTGAAGCCGCCAGGTGTTACATTTTTTTTCCAATTCATAAACAACTATCGATTTCAAGCACACTTGGAACAAGTACCATTGAGACAATAGCGTTTTAATTGGACCCGCTTGTGCTTGACTTAAAATTCAAAGCCACTTTGTAGCACGTGTAAAGCTAAGCTTTTACGATACATTTGATTGATATCAAATAATATTAATTACAGCCAAATTTGATTATGATTATATCTGTTATGGGGTAAAAAAATAATTGTATATCGCCCATGTAATTACCACAAAACATACCTACGTTAAACACCCACAGACATCAATTGGTACACTTGAGCTCACAATAATAAAAACTAAACCTTATCTACCCCTGCTAAGTAATTTAGATGACCCCGTGGGGACAAATGTTGATTACAAACAACCAATTAATTTGACCTCTGCCTCTTCCCTCGGCGATAATAAAACTACCGCCGTCCAACGACGCCAGAGATCAAGTTACGCTGGTCGATGTTCTATAATAATGGTTTATTAGAACGCAAGGAAAAGATCCAGCCATTAGTTGGATACAAATTGTAACTAAACTGGCAAGAAAATACTTATTAAATATATTAGTTCTTATAAGAATATATACTTATGATACTAAATAAAATTATGTTTTCTTATAAGGTGTTAAAACAACATTTTTATACTAATTTATAACAAATATAAAAGTATTGAATGAAGTAAAGAAAAGCATAAGAGAATTCTTCTAAATATGTACATATAAGTTGTAGACAAAGAGCATGTCGAATCAAGGCGCGTCTTGTCCGGCCATAGTACTGGAGCCGCGGTAAGGTAGCGCGCAATACATAAGCGGTAGCGGGTACACGATGATACATATATAACATATATGAATGATTAACTAATTAGTAACGAATACAATATGACTGAAACATACTCTTGAGTCTTATTAGAAAGAAATTCAAGTCTTATTTGAAAATAACTTCAATATATTCTCAAAATCTTCTTAATGCTGATAAGAAAATAATTTTATTATAATATTTTTAATTCATACTAAATAAAGTGCGATCTATTAAGTGTATGTATACCGCTCCCGCGTCCGCCCATGCCGTGTCCGCCGGCTCGCTTGAGTGACAGTATTGATCGCATATAATCGGCCCGCCAATCGCCCCCACCTACACACAGCCCGATAACTTCAATTCTCTTTATCTCTCAGACTTTCTCTCCCCTTTGTGCTTATTTTCTTCAATTTTTTTTTTCTTTTCCCCCACTTTTATTTCGCTCCTTTATTCATTCTATTATTTTCTGTTAGGTATATTTTTCCTTTCCGAGTTCGCTGAGATCATTTGTAGGTCGTTATTGGTATGTCTAAGTGTTGTATCCGCTATGTTTTATTTAATGAATCCCATTCAGAAAACACTAGAATATAATTTGATGGTTTCACATAGAAGGACTTGAGAAGTTACTGTAAACAAGATTTTAAGACTAAGCAATCATTAAATTAATCAATCGTTAAAAAAATTATATGTAGTATGAATAAAACCTACAAAGTCTCTATATAGATATCGACGATGCACAATTATGTTTCAAGTTACATCTGTACGTAATGTAATATATAAAATCAGAATGCAAGCCGCGGGTCTCATTAGAGGCGACAAGGGCGCGAACACATCTCGATCAATCAAAATTGTCAATCGCACTGTTTCACTGAATGTCGGCTATTAATCAAACCGGATTCTACAGGGAAGAAATGACGTTAGATCTGAAATATGAAACGAGTTTACAAACACTGATGACGAGCTTTATATGTAAACTGCATATGTAATTAATAATTGTTTTACTCCTACAATGACAGCACATTGTGTAACATTAATACATTTATTTACAAGTCATTTAGCCGCTATACGTCTTCTATCTGCGACCATCCATTACTGAAATGAACTCCCGCCCGTAACATATTTGAGAAATGTGACAGATTGGCTAACAGTCACATGAATGGAGCCAGCAACCCATACCACCATTACAGAGTCGGGAATCGAACCGAGTACTCGACCATAAAGCAAATTAATCAATTAGCTGAGGGCATGTCGACATTACTAACGTTTAATTTTGACAGTCCCCCTCGAGAGGAACGTCTAGTTTACAACGAACCCCCGTCCTATACGAGGGTTGGATACTCAAAGATCACGATGACTGGTTTTTTGTTAGTATTGTGCAATTCACTGATGCATTCTGATAGTCATATCGAGTGCTGTGTTGATAGTTTGTGATGAAGAGCCCCTTACATTTGTTAATAGCCTCCTCTGAGTTGTTTACAACTGCTACGTTTTGTGACAAGTGGATACAATTAGACGACTCATACGAACTATTTTTATTCTATAGACTCTACATTATTTCGTAGATAGATGTTTTATTGTATTGTATTATAGCAGATACTCTCCAATCGGAGGCTGGGTCTGACGGGAACAGCGAGCACGCGTCTTCAGGAGATGAAGACTCACAGATGAGATTAAGGCTGAAGAGGAAGCTGCAACGAAACAGAACATCCTTCACTAACGATCAGATTGATAGTCTCGAAAAAGGTATGGATTACTTAGATGTTATTTTAAAAGTCTAGATTATATTGTAGTTTAAAATAATCTGAAAATATTAGTTTAATCTACCATTCAAATTCAATATAAAAGGTTAAATATCACTAAATTTAATAGACATTGAGATTAATACAGCAGTAAATCCTAGCTCCCACAAATATGTACCAGTTGTAAGTGCTCCCCGGAGCCTTCATAAACCAATTTGGTGACGTCCCTTTCATCTTATTTATTGTTTGCAATAACAAGTTATTAGCAAATAAATAAATATTTTCCCTCTTATTTGTACAGCTCTCTAAATCGCACCGCTCCAATTATTGATAGTCCGTGTTAATATCAGTTTTTGTTTGTTAGTTTTGCCATTCTGATGTTCTTATTTCTTATATTATTGCCATTTTATTTCTTATTTGTCACGAGTTTATTTAATCTGTGCTGTATGTCGGCTGTATGTCGTGCACTATGTTCACATCGAATTTCAATTCGGCTTTCATTCAAATGTACTGTCATCTACAGAGTTCGAGCGCACTCACTACCCGGATGTTTTCGCGCGGGAACGGCTGGCTGAAAAGATCGGATTGCCTGAGGCACGTATCCAGGTAAAATAAACGTTTACACCGGTCTATTGACTACACTCGAGACCGGTGGTTGTCTATAACTCGATGGCCTGTCAACTGTCAACTGTCAACTGTCATCTACATCACCTGACAGTCGGAGCTGCCAGCATTAAAATGTTATATAGTTTTAAAAATCGAAGCTCGTTAAATAAAATAAAGGAAAAAACATGACAAGGGTGCTTTATTAAAAGCGGTCCGTGGATGCGTTCATAAGGGCCTGTTTACACTGTCTGTTTACATAGGCGCGGGCCGCATGTAGATGCGTCTTTAGCAAACAGACTAAAAAAACAAGGGCATTATATAACCCCACCGAGCCTCGGTATACGCGTATATAATAAACAAATATGGCGGCTATATATTGTTTTACATGTTTTTATTGTATGATTTTTTTTTGTGCCAACATGTTTGTCTGCCTATGTTTACTTGTTTTACTCATGTATGTAATTAAAATGGGGGTTGCTAAAAATTTAATTGGTAATACAAGCATTGGGGAATACTACCGAAACTTGTTTGCACAAAGTTAACATTATTTTAACCGGAGCTGAAACGGTTGATGCGAACTTTAAAATTTTCCGCAACAATGCTGCCAATATAAAAAAAAACTATTTAAAACCCATGAAGTTCTTGTTTCACTTAGCCAAATCGCCACAGTGTTGCCAACAGTTTAAAACATCATTTATCACGTGAGGAAACTTGGCAACTTTTATAACGGTTTAATGCAATTTTGACTGCAACCTTTTAACTATTTTAGAGCTCTTAGCAGGATATAAATCGAATTAGTTTTAAAGATAACGTCGCTGACTTCAATTTATTTTTATGTCCCAACATTCTGTGCCGAGTGATATTGATATTCAGCTTTTTGAAAGGAGTATTTATAAAATACAAGATATATTCTATTACTTACGTAGTTTTAATGGTTTATATATAATATATGTTTATATGAATTTAACGAAAAATTAACGTTTCCAAATGCATTACGATAATATAAAATCGAATTAACATAAACGAAAACATATACATTATACAAAATTTCATATATTCTATCGTATAAAGGTAAAGTTTTTCGAAATTTTTCTACTAAGTTTTCTTGTTTGTGGCAAAAAAATAAGCATGAAAAGGTAATGCCGTCTACATTGTTCCCAACGAGGCGGGCTAAGCTTCGACATTAACCTCTTGTCGACTGGTAGTTAACATTCTGGAGAGCACCGCGTCCTGTGAACTCACGAGTCACGTGTAGGCGCACCGACATAATATTAAACTATTATAATATGATTTAATATAAGAATAACACAAATATATAATATATTTATTATTATATAGTATGTGCTCTGACGAAATGAAGACTCAACTGCGTTTTTCTGATAATACAATATTTATTTATTCTAGTCACACTACACACAGGTTTCATAACAATTAACATATTAAACAGAAAATAAAACAACATTTAAAGCCTCTATATCTATTTTAAAAGTATTATAACCTTATAAGCAGAATATCTAACCACATTTTTCTAAAGATCACAGCTCATAGTTCCGTATATTATAAAATGCATAAACAATAGAAATAAGATGTCACTATAATAGATATCCATTACATATATAATACTAGTTTTTGCTCGCGACTTTGTCTGTATTAATTTCGGCATTAGTAATATGTGACCGGGAGAATTATATTCCGCTCTAGAAGCGAAATAACCGGATATTGGAATTTATTAACTATTTTTTCGATTGAACAGAATTTATCCTATGTCCGTCTCCTGGTTCTAATCTATATCTCAACCAATTTTCATCGAAATCCGTACAGTCGTTTTTGAGTTATAAATAGTATAACTAAGTAGCCTTTCGTTTATATATAATATTATCAAAGAAATTAAAAGTTGTTTCATAGATGTGAAATAAAGAATCTAATTTGATTCTCACTAGTACTGGACAATGGATTTTATTCTAAACACAACTTTATTGTAGCTATATAAAGTTGAATTCGATTCGTATAAAGGAATAGGCTTTATAAAGCAAGTATTCGGACACCACGTGTTGAGGTTCAAGGCTTTGTAGGGAAACCAGATCATAGAAAGTATATAATGTACTACAGTTATGTATAATTGGTTAATACATATACTATAGTAAGTATATAAGAAAATTTCGTATTAAGTTTTACTGGCGATCTTGAAGAAAAGCAATTAAAATGTCAATATTATATTATTATACATGAAAATATGGTTAGAATCAAAAATAATATGATTTATAGAGGTTCTTAACAAATGTAGCCTGTAGGTACTAAATATATTTTTTTATCCTTAATAATTTTCACAAAATCATAGTCAACACAGCAGGGGTTGCTATCGATCCGACCTATAGGTGGGGCTGAAGGGGGATGTTTTGAAAAATTGGCACCCGGCGAACAAAGCCTTTTTACCTACGGACAAACCAAACTCACCCTTACGGCAATCGGATTAAGGACCAACTCAAAAAATATCGCAATAAGAACGTATTTCGCAAAAGTTTAACAGAAATTCCTTTATGTACCTGTTAATATTCTTTATGTGGCTATTCAAGATATTGTACGAAAACGAAAGTATTATTACGATTGTTATATTAAATCGATTATATTATAAACAAAAACAGAATTTACATAGAAAAAAAATCGATTATAATAAATTATTATTATGACATTTATTAAGTAAAACGTTGAATGTTGGCAAAATAACAGAATTATGGTAAATCCTATTTAGTGGACCCCTCTTGGGGTAGACTACGATTTATAAAGGAATGACAGAGGCGGGCTGTCAACGTGTCAACAGATATACATGGAATGACAGAAAAAAAATGTTAAATGTCATCATGTTTTACTGTGACGTTCAGAAACTGTCATATGGGGGAAATATCTTTATATATTCTATATTAATATACTTTTTTTTTTTTGCTAATATTGAAACTACTTGATAAAGCTTAACGTATTCCTATAAGTAAAATTATGCACATATATAATACTTCAAACTTTGTCGGCATACGTCTTAAACGGACCCTTTTTAGGTTTTTTTTGTGAAGGTTCAAATAAAATATATCATAGAATATGGTGATTTCGCAGGCCAGAGCAATAATATTATGACATATTACCTAACGCGAACCCTTCCGAATTTCTTATTTTCCCATTTCAATACAAAGGAAAACGAAAATATTCTTTTCATCTTACGGTTATGCCGACATTTTATTCAGAAATTTTCATATTTAGTGTACAATAGATTATATTATATTTCAAGCGAAATAAAATTTTATTAAACTCTTTATAAATCTATAAGGACGATAGTTTTAATATATTTGAATATTATCGTAGGTTGAGAAGTTTTTTTTTTGGATGTATAATTTCAAGTAATTCAACTAAGTCTCTCCAAAGCGCCATATTGTCGTCGTGTCGGAACCGGCGCACGTGAGACCGTTTCCGGTTGGCGTTCCGTTTCACGCAGTTCAATGTCATGATGTTAACGCTCCAACTAATTGCACTTTTTAATATATACATATATATGTAAAATTAACTAAAAATACTCTTAAAAAACAAGGATAATATGAGTAATAATTACTAATTAATAACAATGTAATTGGTAGTTTGGAACATAATGTATATCTGCTTATAATTTGACAACAGAAAATATATTTAGCCTTATAAAATGTCGTATTTAAGGCATACATTAATTAAAATTATGTTAAATATATTATATATATTAGCAAACCAATAACAACCATAACCAATACAGGTTTGGTTTTCAAATCGTCGAGCTAAGTGGCGTCGTGAGGAAAAACTGCGAAGTCAAAGACGAGACGCGCCCGCATCACCCGCCCCGCCGGCCAGACTGCCGCTGAATGGCGGGTTCAACTCTATGTACAGCCCCATACCGCAACCCATAGCCACCATGACTGATACCTATAGGTGAGTGATGTACCATACTTCTTCTACCTGGCAATTTCCAAGCTATAGCCAGGGTCTGCCTTACATGTTGTATATAGTTTTGGCTAATTGTTTTTACGACAGCCGCCTGCCTGACATCAACCCTCTTTGGGAAACTATACCATACTGTGCCATAGACTATACTGACTATATATAATCTATGGTTATATGACATAATCTATGGCAGGGATATCCAAATTTAATGGCAAACAAAAATAATTAAATACATTAGTGGGCTGTAAAATATTTATTAAAAAACTATGTACATATGTACTGGTAATAATAATAACGATATTATTGTTACCAGTACATACCATCATAAGATAACGCCACGATTTTGACAGCCCTGATTTATTGTATTAAATAATCTATGTACAGAAATTAAATTTCAGTTAGACCAATTCAAATTTATTAATATCCAAACTTATATGTAAAAACTATTTAAAAATCCTTCATATTAAAGTCAAAGATAACAATCTTTAGCGCCATCTATTATCAAAAGGCGTCACTAATTAAATTGCGCGCGAAATCGCCCGGCAAAAGATCCTTTCCCGCCATTGCACTTAGACGTTACCAAGTCGCCTTTACACTCCAATTGATTTTTAATAGTGAATCTGACGGTCTTTGTGGAGCTAAATTAAATTAGTTAGAAGCTGACTCGATCATAGTTTTAACAGAATAACAACTAGCTGTGAATGAGTGAATGAATGAATGGATAACATTATTATTGTAATATATTTATAATATGTTTTATTAATAAACATATTGTTGTTTTCTTTAAGCCTAATAGTTGGATAATTAACTTTTATTTATTATATTGAAGTCATAATAATAAGTTGAATTTTATCTTATTTATATTTCTTTTTTGTTTTCTCAATGGATACAATATTTTTTATTGATTAATAATTTTACACATACATACACGGACCCAATATAACTGGTTTAATATTTTTTATATGTGAATGAGTTATTAGTAATATTTCACCATATTTATGATATCTTCTTCATTTGAGTTTATCTATCTCATTCTTTATTATACATGTATGTATGTATGTATGTATGAATGTAAATATGTTTGTATGTAAGTATGCATGCATGTACGTATGTATGTTTGTTATGTACGTTCGTATGTATGAGTGTCTCTCTCTATTTATATCTGTATGTCTGTATGTATGTCTCTCTCTGATGTGTGTGTATGTGTGTCTCTCTCTGTCTGTCTGTCTGTATGTATGTTTCTCATCCCCCCCTCCTCCCCCCAGCTCCATGTCGTCGGGCCTGTCGTCGTCGTGCCTCCAGCAGCGCGAGCCCGGCTACCCGTACATGTTCGGCGACGTGCTCTCCAGCGGCGGGTACAGGGCGCCCGCCGCGCACCAGCAACACGCCGCCTACAGCCAGACGCAGGGTGGGGGGAGTACCGGTATGTAACATATACACAGACACACATATATACAGGGTGACTGGTGAATTCCTATCGATACTTGAGGACGTGATATTTGACGATCGTATATGACAAAATAAAAATTAATATAACATAAATATTAATAAACTTCTAAGTAAAGTTAACCAAAAGTTATGTAATTAAGTACTCATCGTGTGAACACCCTACAGATTAGGTATACACACACACACACACACACACACACACGCGTGCGGCGGCGTGCTGTTACAACACCACGCCGCCGCACGCATCCACACTTGGAACACTTGGAACGTGTCCACACTTTATTTATTTATACGGAAATTTGGTCAAAAATAAAGTACCTATTTTTTTTACATAATTCGAATGAGAATCATGTACCGAGTATTCTCATTAAATATTGATAGTAATTCACCAGTCACCCTGTATATATTAAGAGGTTGTATTAGTACCTAATGTTACATGAACGTCATTTTTTTTGTTATGTATATGTACTTAGTTAAGTAATATGTACATATATATATTAATATTTTATTGGTATATAATACTTTGATTTGATTATTGTTGCAGTGAATATTGTTAAGTAAATGTGTTATATTTTACTTAGTTTTTATGTATTTATATATACAATTATGAATATTTACGTGTAAGCACGCCGTCGTATAACTCTAAAGTTGAATCCAAGTATACAGAATCACTTGTAAAATGTATAACGTTCGGTTTGAAAACGTTACAAAAATCTAAATCAAGCCTTGGAAAATATTTACCAAGTTGGTAATAAAATGTAAAAAACGCTGAGTCAAGAGCGAGGGGCGTCTGGCTCACAAGACCGCGACATGACGGGGAAACGGAAAACAGAGGAAAATAAAGGAAAAACGGGGAGGAAAAAAATATACCAACACAGAGACGGCCGCGATTGGATTTGCGTTGTCTGTTCCTTACAAATGGCTTTTAAATTGATTCTGAATATCGAATACTTGACTTAACAAACATTTGAAAATACAACTACCCTCGAACTAAAGTTAATGAAATTAAAACGATATTAATATAAATATAAATATAGTTGATTTATATGTAGCAAGTTGGCATATCCATTGTTTTAAAAAGCTATAACTTTCAAGCCACGCGCTATATATCATGCAGCGGACACTTTAGCCTCGGTGCGGGCGAGTATGAATGATTGTTTGGTTCGTTCGTTGTGTAGCTCATAGCTGAGTTTCCACCGGCGGCTTTAAACAAAAGAGGTTTTTCACAATTCAAAATGCACGCTCTCGTTTCATTTACTCTTTTACGTTTTCGGCTGCATTTCAAGTTACGTGTGTTAAATAATAATAAAAAATGTGTTCTTATATTGCTATCGATTGTTTTTGTGGATATAATACTTATATACTTATATAGGATTTGAGATATAACTCGCGAGTATTTATTTAAATGAAACTAATATTATTCAAATTACTACATACTTACGTATTTTTTTAATTATTTTTATTAACTACATAATCTCGACTGCCCATCGTGCAAAATAACCGAAACTTCCCAACTATATAGTATAAAAATAATAAAATACGCCTAGTATTCGAAAATACTATCGTTTAAAAGTATTAGCGATGTATTTTATATATTATAACAGTTTACCGACGTCGTTTATCACATACAAGGAGTGTACACACGAGTCATTGAGTGCACGCGGCCCGGCCTGTTGTATGACGATAATAATATGTAATGGATATAATGGATATAAACCTACCCTTCAATGTGGAACGGAAAATGTTATCGCGGAAACACACGCGCACTGATATACGCTTAGAATTATTAAGCTACAGCTTACATGTTACAGTATTATATTATAAATGCGAAAGTAACTCTGTCTGTCTGTTAAACTTTCACGCCTAAACCGCTGAACTGATTTTAATGAAATTTGATACAGATATCGAGTTGTTGAGAAAGAACATAGGATAGTTTTTATCCCAGACTTTTGAAAGGTTCTTTTGGAAACGCGATAGGTATAACCGAACTCCACGCGGGCGAAGCTGCGGACGGAAAGCTAGTTTACTATATTATTAATAAAACATACAAATTTAACTTCATTTTACGTGTATATGTATTGTATATCAAACAGTCATTAGTTATAATCTCCAATCAAGCCTCATCCTCCATACGTTCTATAATCTGATATGAAACCTATTAACATCATGTATCACTATCGGTTCAGCCATATGTCTAATAGGATTCACATCGCATACAGTTTATTACACACAATCGCCTTGTCTGGACACACGCACACACACACACACACACACACACAGTCATAAAGATAGTCGCATCCCGACGAACGTAATGCCTTCATTGCACAATTATTATTTTATATATATAGGAATTGTTATCATATTAAATGTTTTTATATAAAATATCATCATATATGTTACATGTTTGGGGACTCCTAACACAAGTTAATTCTATTACTAGCTGTATCTGTTGTATATGTATTGGTTACAGATATAAACTAATTTATTATTATGTTTAATATGTATATGTTTTTAATATCTCCCCTTGTCGTAGGTGTCATATCGGCGGGTGTGAGTGTTCCAGTACAAATACCATCTCAAGGGCCGGACCTCGCGTCTAATTACTGGGGCAGGCTGCAGTGATCTCAGCTATTCGGGTTCCCACATCGATTGTTATCGATGACTGAGAACCCGAATTTATCGGAAACGCCATCTAGCGAACTATCGCACAACTACGACACACACTTGACAATGAACGCTCTCAACATGACGGCGGGCCACGACAGCGTTTTGGCGGGAGATATGACAGAGAATAATTCCGTGTCTTAAAAGTTAAATTATAAGTGTAGTGTTAATACAATAACCGATGGATTCTAGTGTGATAGTGTTAGTGTTAAAATGGTGCATCGTGTTATTTTTGTATAATATTTATTCGACGGCTAAGCAACTGATGATGTTCAAACCTAGCGGTAAGTTGTTTCGTACACCGCGAGAGTGCACCGACACGCGGTTACGATCATATATTTAACATTCATTATAATCATTTGCTTGTCTAGTGTATATTGTAAATGCGGCATGTTTCATTGTATGATCGATTAGTATAAGATGTGGCGTTTGTAAATATAGATAAACGCCATCTATTGTTGAATCTGAGAAGCTTGTTGCTCGAGAGTTCATTAACGTCTCGACATGAAATTAATGTAAATTGTTTGTGCCAACGTTTGTAATAATTGAGTGTTACGCGCCCTTTGCGTGTACAACCCTTTTATTTCTTTGATGTATGCATCGGGGGTGCGAAAATATTAATGCCATAGAAAAAAACGTGGCAATAAGCTTCGTTACAGCGATTTGTTTGTCACCCTCTATTCGGGGCTGCGTCGTACACTATACACACTGTAACACGACTTGATATAAGTGTTTGTATAATTGTATAATAGTTACATTAGTAGATGTTGTAATGTGTCGGAAGTCGAATATTTACAATAGCACACCACGAAACGAATTAATTTATGTTATTTATTAATAATTAAGGAGTTGCTGTGATTAAAATGTAGTTAGATTTATTTTGACGCTATTCGGAAGATTTTTGGGAACATAAAATAAAATTAATAATACTTAATAATGTAATTCAAAAAAATATAAAATTTGTATACATAAATAGCGCTAAGATTATGTTTATCAGTGAAGCACAATTTCTCTTTTTATATAAGAATTAATAATAAATTAACATGTATGTATAAATGCTAATATATTTTGAATAACGCAATACAGATGTGGTGTGGACGTTGTAATGTATGTAGTTAGTGTTTAAGTGTAAAATAAATTATTGTAATTATAAGTGCATATAGATTGATGAGGTTACAGTGACGTTTAATAAATATCGCATTAACCATTATATAATAGTTTCACTCACAACCTTCTGAGCAACTCGACTGGAGATAATTATCTATTGGGTTGGATAAAATATTATTAACCGCAATAGGTGTGACGGACCCTTACTGGGCGTTTAGAATAAAAATATGCCGTTATACATTTGGGCGGTTCTGTATTAATTTTGCGTGTTCATACATTCGTTGCGTGGGGTTCGAAAACATCCCCCACACAAGGGTCGGATAAAATGGGATCCGATGTAGATTATACTGATCTAAATTCTGTTAAAGTGAACGCCCTGTATACAATATAGATATGTTAGCTTTTCATTTGTTTTCATTGTAACAATTAATAAATAATACACTTTAAATATTTTGTAGGGTGACTTAAGTCTGCACCGAGAACTATCACTTAAAATTTATCATACTTAACACTAAAGACGTTTGTTTAAATTTAACCATCTAATAAAAAGAAGATATTTAAATAAAATATATTGTAGTATAATAAAAGCAAGCGGACTCAGATAGATGTAAACAATTACATATAATCACCGTATATAATTGGTTTACATTTTATCTCCCCTCGTGAGCGATGGACAACTGCGTCTGATTTCAATGGCTTCTTAATCTGTTAACTTCGACATGTGTGATTTTGAATAAAAACCTCGCTCGCATCGGAGGTATGTTGCGTGATTTGGGACAGTAATCCTCTAATTTAATTAAATATTACTTCATTTGTATGTAAATGGTATTATCACATTGAGGGTAGTTGGACATATTTCAAAGAAAACTATTTTACTTTACTATCTGTGTAAGGTATTTTCACACTGAGGGTAGTCTGATATTTCAATGAAAACTGTTGAATATTTAATAATATTTATTAATTGGATAATAACTAAGGATCACAATTCAAGCAGTCTTCATACGTCATGGTTCCTGATATCTGACATGATTTTAAATCACATTACTAAACTAACAAGCAATATATTTTAATGATTTTGAATTACTTTATAAGGGCGATTATTGATTATTTTACTATAAAGCGTTCCTTTGGTAAGTCTTACATGAATAACAACAATTATAACGTTTCATACAAATCGCTTATATTTAATAAATATTTATATATTACTTATTCTTAATGTGATATGTGACTAACTTAATATGATGGGTAAGTACTTGAATTATTAATTGGCAAGTAAATATTTGTATATGTCTTTGGGAACAGATATTTTTTGGGATGATTTTTTCATACATTTCCTTACGAGTTATTAAGTTTTCTTGTTGCTGGGTTTTCATTTTTAGGCCAACAGAGGCGTTCTTTCCGACGGCGCCACGAAGACCGGCATAATTGGTGCAGTGATTTGTCCGTAACTGGAATATAGAAAATAAATAGCTCATATTAAAATATTGATATAAAAAAACATTATAAACATGTAAAATTATCATAGTATATAAAATATGTTTTATATTTAATATTTAACATGTGTTAATAGATTTAGAAATAAACATGATTATTAATAAAAACTATTGCATATAAAATGAATCCTAAATAAAATCATATGTATTATGACTTCTGATCAGATTTATTTCTGTCGGTCTGAGAGACCGTATTATTAATGAAAACTTTTTTATATAAAATTAATCTTTTCAGAAATAAAATAATAATATATACTATGACTTCTGATAAGATTTAGTTCAGTCGGTCTGTTAGACCGTACACGTCTACTCACCGTCTTCTCGGCTCGTAGACCGGTCTCACGCTCCGCGGGGGCGGCGGGAAGGGAGGCCTGGCCCGGTTATGATAATGTTGAACCAGGAAACCGGACAACGCGAGACCTATCCAGAGTACTGCGATGACGGCGTCTACAGGGGAGATGGAAAAAGTCGGGTGAAAACATATGTATATATGTCCTGAATATATTAATATATAGATTATTAAAGTTTGATAACTATAACTTTGCCTTTCATTTTGATGCATTGACTACATTAATACTATAGTAACGAATTATTGAATATATTTGAGTACCTATTAAAAATATATTTATTTATTTATTAAAAAAAAATATTATCTTTGTAAAACCAATAAAGTTTTATTGCATTTTTTTGACTTGTATTTATTATTAGGTACAACTAAAATTTAAAGTAAAAATTTTCTTGCCATTTAAAATAAATGTAATAGTATTTAATACATAATATATTGTTAAAAACTAATAATTTTAATTTGATACCCTTTAAATATAACATTAACTAAATTAATTTCACTTTAACTTACCTTTCCACTGGAACGGCGGGGAAAGGACAGCCATATTAAAATGAGGTACAATGGCGCGTCTCACTGTGTTGATTATAATAAATCTTAAATTGGACCCTATGTAGTAGTCCATAGGGAACACAGTCGCGTACGCTCCGAGTATCGCACAACACAGTATGTTAGATAGAAACGTCATAGAGAGCAACAGAAGCGCTGTCAGTAGCATTATAAAAATAAAAAGAGTCCAAAAGTTCAAATCCAATTCCAATTCTGTTAAACCACCTGAAAAATAAAAAATTAAAATAAAAAGAGGTTCAATATATAATTATTAATTATAATTGGCCATATACAAAGTTTTTTTTTTATTACCTGGCAACCCGTGATATATTATAGCGGCAAATAGAAAGCCTACATTCAATGTTGACAGAAAGACAGCGAATATTGGTATGCCATAGAACCACCAGAAAAGCAACCAAATTGAACCGAAACATACTCCGGATAATACTGACGCTCCTAAAAGTGCTGTAAATTTAATATTATTATAACAATAGGTATATCATAGTAATTGTGAGTAAGTAATACATTATAATGACCCCACCTGCCCTATTCAAATCAGCCATTAAAGATATCAGAATGTATGTAATGACAACTCCCGTGACGAAGCCAACCAGAAACATTTCAGTTTTAAAAAATCTATGTCCGAAAAAACACACGAATAGACCGACGAACGTCAGCGATGCACATAATATTTGGGAAAAGAAGTCGTCTGAAATAATAAAATAGCTTTATATTACACGATAAATACAAAAAACTTCAAACAGTAAAAAATATTAAGACTTTAAAAACACTAATATAAAATAAAAATAACAAAAATCACAAATTAATCAAGTTTCAACTTAAAGCCAATACACAAAAAAAACAAATTGAATTAAATTAAATTAAAATTGAAAGTAAAACAAAAACAAAAACTGCAAATACATTATCACTTTAGGTAAGAGAGTTAAAAACATTTAGCATTTAAGATATTACGAACTGCTCCTTTATAAACACCAATCTTTGGGCAAAAAATATCTAAGTTTTGGAAGTTAATATTATAATTTAGGCAAGAACAGTATAGAAACACATTCTTAGTAAATTTATTTTTCATTCTTTGTATATTTCTTGTGAAATACAAAATAAACAGCACGTACATTCACAATTATAGAGTATTTTCCTAATTTTTTAATGTATTTTATACACAATTGTATGGCATACCCATGATCTCACAACCGCCTTCTACAAACGGATCGCACGCATACGAATACGTCGGCACGTAAACAGAATACGCACTCGTATTCTTTGAGCTGAACGCGATCGCAACGTATATAGCACCAGTTCCCGGATAAGCGCTTAACATACGACGCATACGTAAGCCCGTATACGGAATCTAAAAATTACGATTTATTTAGTTTTACGGTAAGTATATATCCGGAAACTTCAATATTATCACCAACACACGTAGCAAGTTAAACAACACTGCTTCTTGAGGCAGTCTCCAAGTTCATTTGGCCAAGGTGTCTTACTACTAACTGTATACTTTCAAGGCGCTGTTAAAGCCTCTTTAGTTATCACAATCACACTTAAGATGTTTAATTTAATTTATGCAATTTTTCCTGTTCATAATATATAGAAAAGATACTATAACATATTAGTCCTTAAGTTAGTCACTTTATAGCCAAAATATTTTTTAATCCATGAATAGAAAGTACATACATTATAATATGGTTTAAATTAATAATTAATTTCACTTACACTGAAAAATATTTGCCGTCAAACAAATATGTTTGTCAACACACAATTTGCTTTTAATAAATGAAATGATATCTAATACTATTGTTAATAGATAGGATTAAATTAAATTCATACATAAATACAAACAACAAAATCATCACCAAACATTTGACTCGTCGGCAATATAGTATGGATATATATAACTTCAGTTAAATATACTATTATCTAAATATTAAACACAAATATGTAAGGCATATAATATTTATAATATATAAGTGTATCTATATTTAGCTTAGCCATTAACCATGAAGATTCATTTGTCAATGACTAGGTCATGACTAAGGCTGAATACAACAGATAAATCATACATAATCTCATTAACTTATGTTACATTTAAAGTATGTAATGAGAATGACAAATTAACGTTTAAACATTAGTTTACTTAGATTAAACATACTAGAGATTATTAAAGATAAAAGATATACTTAAATAACTAATAATATATATATTTTTTGCGATAAATAAGAAATATTAAACGTTACACTCACATATTCACCATAATCTTGTATTTTATCCAACGTCAACATATTAATTATTCCCATATAATATGTATCAGGATCAAAATCTCTCTCTGGTAAATACATTTTGTAGAAATTAACAAACGACTTGTCTATACTATTGCAATTGATGTCCGAGGGATCTTTGGCAGCGGCCGCATCAACCATTATAGTGTCATTGTCGTATGAAGACAACATAAATGGTGATATCGGCAGACTAAATTCCATATTGCAACCACCGGGTATTGGATCTGAAATAAAATTTCATGTATCTACTATCTAACAAAAGATATATGAGATATTTAGTCCAAAATTACTTTAAATACCTGCTTTTGTATACCCATGTATGGAAACGAGAACTTTAATATCAATGCTATTGGGATTGATTATGAAAAATGTGTCTAACTTTGGTTTCACACTGCTATACATGCCTACATTAGTGCCAGTTACATATGAACCTTTCACAAATGTATTATTATATAGAGTCACATTGTAAGAGTGACTGTGTACTTGCAATATTATGAAGGACACATTTGGATATACATTTAGTAGGTCCACTTGGGAAGTTGAATTAGCTGTGACGTTCAGAAAACCGGTATAAAGATCCTTATCACCCCATGATGTGGTTTTATTCAAATTTATCAATACATTTGTTTCTGAAAATAGCAATTTTAAAATAATAATTTGATTTCTAAACATCTAAGTAGGTGTTTGTAGTACTTACTCTGTGTGCTCACGTTATTGATCAGAAAAATTAAAAATATTAAGGGTATAAAGATATTTTTAAACATATTTACTTGAAGTTATCACTAATATCAAACTTTTGGAATGAGGCAAAGTGCATAGATAATAACATAAATCTTAAAATATAATTTTGTCGCTAATCAGCTGATATTTGACAGGTACAAAAATCAATGAACATAACAATTACAAGTAGAACTTAACAAAACCGTCACCACTGCAGCAAATTTGATTGAATATTAAGGCGAAACAGATAACGAAAGGTGTAATCGAATAACAATATTGTTCTTATATTTACGGTTAAGTAAATGAAACAAAGCACACTGAACTCATGGTGATAAAAAATAAAAACAAAGTTTTTACTCGATTATCCATGACAACATGAATGACTGACCGAATTCAGACCGACAGATTGAAACGAGGCCAGTCGGTCTGAGATGGCGAACGAATGAAGAAGCGAGTGAGATAGGCGATTAAAGCCAAAGGAAAAAACCGCGTGTGCGAGCAAGATAGGAATATATGTAATAAACAGAACGAAATGGTATTTTTTATTTCTGCAACTTGTAGATATTAGAAATGTTTAGTGACAAATTATTTTGGTGAGACATCTAAGCTTCCAGTGGGTTGTTCTTGGAAATAAGTATTTTTAAAGCTTATATTTTAACTTAATACGTGTAAATGAATGAAGTTTCGTAGTAGGTCGAGAGCAAAAGGTTCATACTCGATATCGATTCCCTCACCGGCCGCTAGGGCGCACTCACGTCTAATCTAAATATGGCGGCGCGATCAATGAAGTTGTAGTGAGTAGTGAAGTCTAGTGTAAAAAATTGAAATGATTGAAGTTTGTGTTATATTTGTGAGTGGTATTTACGATTAAATGGGCCATGGGAAGAGGCCAGGATTTATTGGACGCAGCGCGGAAGGGAGACGAGCGGAGTGTTGAGAAAATATTAATTCAAATAACTAAAAGGAGTGGTCCTTTTACAAGGTGGGTCTTTCTTATGTTTATAAGATTTTATTGCATTACGAACAATGTAAACAATATATTTGAATGACGAAGCAAGTCTTATATTTTCTGTTAAGTATAAACAACCTTAAAAAGACATCCATGGTCATCGGTATATTTTTCAATGTTTACGTGCACTTTACGTACCTTATCTCTCATAAGTTTACGAATTAGTTGCGGTTAAATAAAGAAATGAATTCTTCCATGGCTAACACGCAAATTTTTAAAGAATGAGACGATTTAATAAACAAAACTAAGACAAATAAAGACCCATACATAGGTTATAATTCATAGTTTAAACGTATATATATGAATATGTATATAAAACATAATAAGTTAGTTATTGGTTTTCGCAATTTAAAATTCATCAATTCATCAAAGTTGTTGTTGTTCTTGAACTCAAGTACAGTCATTATTACGTATTTTTCCTTAACTGTCAGTTAATTCTTAAACTTATTTGTTCCAATTATAATTTATTATTTCTATGACAGAATGTTAGTGACGTGCAAAATACATAACTGTTCACTTGTTTCTATGTATCCAGTAAGATTTTGCAAGGATTTCATTATAATAAATCCCTAAATTTATTACTATAAAACTTTTTTTTTTCATTTATATTACATTAAATTTCGACATAAACAACTCATGTGAAAAATTACTGGCCATTATATAAAACAATACTACAATTAACATTAAGAAAAAAAAATAAACAATTCATTTGTTTAGCAAGCATTAATGTAGGAAACGCTGGAAGGCGGTAAATTAATAGTTATCTATTTAAGAAAGTCGGGGATACCTTGGCCATTAAGTCGAGTGTTGGCTCCGTGCCAGAGGCAATCGATGTTTAGAGAGTGCATTGAACCCATCCATAATATCCTATTATCCCACATAAAACACCTTTGTATTCAAGCATGCACTTGCCTTGCCATCACAATGAAGGATATCGTCGGATAAATCGTTAGTTGTTTACTTACGTTTAGATTTTTTAAGGATATCTTCGGATAAATCGTTAGTTGTTTACTTGCGTTTAGATTTTGTTATGGAACTTTATAAGGGGACTTCACATTAAATTTAGTGCTTACGCTCATTTTTTAATGAATTTTTTTGATAATAAATTGCGTTTTGATTTATTTTTATCTTTTATAATTTGATAATCTATTATGAGTAATGTTTTTTTATATTTATCGAAATTTATTTCTGTATAGTTGTATTGTAAATATGGTAAATAAAATATACAATTTTCTGTAAGTATCCTTGCGATGCCGACCGGTTTCTGATAAATATGCGGTCGAAATGTTGCTAGACTTATGCTTTTATTCTACAACACCCTTTTATATCAGTTTTGCAAAAATAAAACCTATTTTATTGGTAATAAGGTTTCGTTTTTAATATCGGCATGTTGATACTAATCTTCATATAAAAAGTTAACCGCTTGTTACCAACACGTGGGTATAATTTTGATTTGTTCTCTAGGTTTTCTAGGTTAAATGCCGCCGGCTATAGATCCGCTAGATTTAAGCGGATGTCCTATGTAGATCATGGAACATATTTTATCCATCCATTGTTTCATGCATGCATGCATGTATTTATACTGGAAAATGGATATATGACGATCTTCGACGAAAATTTTTTTTCCCTATGAATGTGTGATTTTTAAATCTGTCATAATTGTGTCCGGATGTATATGAGACAAGATCGAACGTATTTTGCATACAAAATATTGTATTGCCAAAAAATATTATCTGTATATAAAAATGAATTGCTGTTCGTTAGTCTCACTAAAACTCGAGAACGGCTGAACGGATTTATCTTATCTTAGTCTTGAAATGTTCGTGGAGGTTCAGGGAAGGTTTAAAAGCTGAAAAAAATTATTCATATCCGGGAAAACCCTAAAAACAGCCCTTTTCTATTTCTCATACAAACGTTTTTTTTTTGACATTAGATTTGACAACTAACTAATATTCTTATCATTCTGTCGCACTTCAGAATACGGAGTTTTATGGCTTAAACCTTAAAGGTAAACTCCAAAAAAATAAATAAAAATTATTTATTTATTGATTGAGGCAGTACGAGGTCTGCCGGGTCAGCTAGTATATTATGTATAAATATTGTGTCTAAATAATAAATATTAGAAAATATTTCTTTAGAACATTAGTGTTAGATTTAATGATCATGTAATTAATATATGCAATTAAAATTATAATTGATTATGTAATTAACCAAGGTTATTTTTATACCAAAGTAGGTAAAATCCAAGTTTATGTATGAAATACAGGTGATGTATAGTTAATTATGTCATTACGATTCATTTTAAAAGTATTTATAATGTTTACAATATAAAAAAACTATTAGTGATAGGAAGTTTCATCGGGAAAGGGCATATTGACGTCGTAAGGAAACTAAAAAATTAATGCTTTGTCATCTTCCATACAAGTTTTACAAAAGTATAGTGAATAACAAGCAACCTAGAATAAAGGATCCTGATTGGTCGAAAAACTTCAATCGTTTCAGTTACAACTATGTTTTGTTTTAATTGGAACGTGATTAGCATTTCCCATTTGACGTAATGAGTTTGCTTTGGACATCATTATAATTGTCCCAAAATCAGAAATATTAATTAATGATTGATAAAAATGGCCTATATCATTAGTTTAAATATACATATATGTTGGGAATAAATTTCGGATGTTTGAAGTTTAAATGTAAATTTACCTTCCCCATTGAAAATGTCCCCAAATAAGGAGTTTGTGGAGAATTGCCATCCTATTAACCGTTAGATAATAGACTTCCTATAACACAAAAATATTAAGCAGTTTCATACGTAAAAGCTAGATTATTATCATTAAAAAAACTAGGTCAGAAAATTCAATGGAATTAAGAAAAATTGTATGACTTACTAATTATTAGAGTACACAAAAAAAAACTGAACAACAGTTACATAGACGAAAAAATACCGCAATAAAAGTTCAAACCTGTGACTCATCTTGTTCAAACCATCAGTTAGTTAGTCACTCGTGGTCGCTGGGCCGAAACGTTCATGTAAATATTATAAGTATCTATTTGACCGGGAATTAGTTAGCTGATAGCTTATCGGCCACCAGATGGATATCAATTTCGTGTAAAATGAGATTTAAATTGCCATACATCGATAGTGATTTAATAAGTTTCAGGCGTTTCAAGAAACATGGGTATGGAAGTTATTTATTTTATCTTCAGACTTGTCTTTAGATAATTCTTATCCTTTTTGTAGTTCCATGAATACAATGTGCTTTGTCAAATGCTGTGTGTTCTATTGTTTAGATTTCTGTTGACCGATTTAATACAGCATTGACTTATGCTATGTTTACAATTCACTTGTTCGAGTGTTCCTTGTACCGTTAGGGGGAATGTTTTTATTTAACCGACTTCAAAAATGAATTATGCTGTTTTTTAGAATATTTACCTAGTATATGAAATTTATATCAATATTTATTTCTTTTCTTTTAAAGAATTAGACGTCAAATTTATTTTTAGATAAAATAAATATTAAATCACACGTATAAATTTCGACTAGCGTAATTATTTTTCAAATTTTTTCTAATGTAATCAAGATTTTTTTACATTTTTTTAATTTATGAAATTCTTTGTTCTGAGTAAAACAATGTTTACAAACTTTGAAGTATGTATATTATCAACATATGTG